TCAAAATCAAACATTTGTGCATTTGTGTGCACACACCATCAATTGTGAGTGAAACACAGTCCTTCTGTCCAGGGCACATTCTGGAAAAGTCATCAGACTGATAAAAGACAATCTCGCGCTCCTTTATTTCTGAGTTAAGAGGATTGTCTCAGTATGGATCAGGCGCAGCTAGAATTCCTTGGCTCTTTCGAAGTTCCACTCCTCTTTTTGCCAAGTACCTGGATACTCCAAATTCAGCAGCAATCTTTTGCACACTCCAAGTCTCTGGAGCAAGAGCGAGAATTCTTATTTTCTCCCACCTTGAAGAAATGGCACACTTTCCTTTGATCAGTGTCAATAATCAATCCCACTCTTGGCACCTTAGACACCTCTCTGCTTCAGAGGAAAAGTCCTGAGATGGTACATCATGTACCTTGGCAACCTTGGACTTTGCAGCTTTGTGTATGTCCTTAACTTTTCGCTAGGTATATAGTTGCCTGCCACGTCCGGAAACCTTTTTCACTGAAGAGCAACCAAGGGCTTCATAACTGGCACCAACTGTGAAACTGTGAAATGCATGGTTCAGGTTCAAACTCTTCACTAGGTGATGAAAGATCGGCTGGTTTGAACTTTTTCAGGAAGATTGTAGTGCAATTATTGCACAGCTTTTGGCCTGGTTTAACTTTGAGTAGCTCAGTCTTGACTTCATTCATCACATGGACGTTACCTGAAAAAACAAACAAAACCACAATAAGTTTAGAGAAGGATACAACTATATCCAAGGATCTCACCCATGAGAATAATAAACTCAAACTGAAGCCTGAGTAACAGGATACAAAGAATATCATGATTATAAAATTGATAACATTGTTTTCCTTACACTACAGTTGTCATACTAGATTTAACTACCAGTACAGTAGCATTTGTCATAGGCCAAGACTTGGATACTGTATCATGAACATCTATGTATTAGTATTAGCCTATAGTGAGTTATGAGGTTCTGTTAGTAATAAAGAAATTAAAACTGAAGAAAAGAGTGCCACTATTCTGCCTGAACAAAATCTGAATTTAAAACCAGTTAAAAATCATAAAATTATTCAAGTTTAAATTTGCTGTAAACTCAATTCTACCACCTAAATTTCATTTTCAGATCTAAATTAAACAGGTTTGATGTTGTACTTACTTTTGCGGGCCTTTTTATGCCTTTCAGACGGGTCACAGCAAACTTTCTGAAGAGTTTCATAACGCATTAAATATACTTTCTCATGATGAAAGCACAGAGCACCATCGTTCTTGAGGCTAAGGCCACTTCGCTGTTCTAGCAGTCTTTTTTCTGATGTAGATAAAATTCCAATGGTAGAGAGTCCTTCCTTTCTGCAGTATGTCTTCTTATGAAAGACATCATGGAGATCAGAACCAATATGACAGGGTGGCACATCCATGTTCATGCAACAGACATGAAATGATCTGTCTTAAGAAAGGTGATGTTGGTAAGCCTATGAAGAACCATAAACATATCATGATTGGTGCAGAATTCCAGGAATTAAAACCTCAAATATCCTGCTTATCTTAAGTGATACAGAATGGTCTTTACATACCGTTAGAGCTTTCTGGATTTTCTCTGAGGCACTGTGTTCCCGGGACCACAGAGTGGTTTCTTCTTGGTTTAAAATATATAACCCTTATCTAATTTCAAACAAAGAACATGTACTTGTTACCATGACACAGCACACAGCTGTAACCTCCAAGTGGTTCCACCCAGATTTTAAAGTTTTAATGTGGTTAATGACACTTTTCCAAGCAATGTACCACAAATAATCTTCAATTGTCTTCCCTTATAACAAGCAAATAGTCTTTAAGTCTATTAAAGGTCATTTAATCTTTTTATCAGGTGGAAAAGTCCCTAAACTCCACCAAAAATGACCTGTGAGAGCTCATTTTCAAAAATTCCATTTGAAATGAAGGAAGTTAATAGTAGATGTTTTTATTACTTTAAACTAATCAGAATATGCCAAAGTTTCTCTGGTAAAAATTTGATCAACTGTGCCACATGGGGAACCGAGGCTCCAAAGAAGGGGCCAAAAAGATCACATTTGGTCTGTGACCAGATTTAGGACTCTACACCATAAGAAAAGTGTGAGATTGTTGTCAGAAATGGTCATTCTCTCAAATATTCAGGTTCAGTTAGTTTGTAAATATCTGCTTGGAGTAAAAAGATCTTGGACCTCAAAATAAAATAAAAAAAAAGAAATTGAGCAGCAACCAAATGTGAGATTTTGGGGGTCCACAGCACCCCCCTTAATAAAGATACACAATATTTGACAACAGAATCTATGACCCAAATCTGAGATGGCTCATAGGGGAGGGCAGCTGATTTCATATGGATGGACCCTGCAGTACATCCAGAATGCTACAGCTCGGGTCCTGACTCCAACCAGGAAATACGAGCACGTGTCCTGTGCTCAGGTCTCTGCACTGCCCCCTGTGGCTCAGAGACTTTAAAGTGGTTCTGCTTGTGCAGAAACACAAGTCTCTCCATGGCCGAGCACGAAAGTACCTCCTGCTTTAGTCCAGTTGTAGTCCTGGTTTAGTCCTGGTTTAGGTCCTGACCTCCTGCTGGTGCCCAGAGTCAGGACTTAACATGGGGATTCAGAGTTTGTGAGACAGACCTCTGCTCTGACTGTGTTTAAATCCAGGCTCAGAACAGTTCTGTTGAGCTGAAGAGGACTGAAAGACTTTTATTCCACACTCCTCTCTCTTTTCTTGAATGTTATTTTATGATGATTATGTTTTGTTTGCATTGTGATTTGAATGTGTTTCTTATTCTGTAAAGCACGATGAATTAGTTTGTGGACAAATTGTGGTATACAAATAAACTTTCTTTGTCTTATTCATAAGCTTGCCAACTCCTGGCTGAGTAAGTGGTATTTCTCCTGTCTGACCAAACGCTCACAGAAGTGAGAGTCACTTCTGTGTTTGGAGCAGAGCTGTGTCCCTGGGTCAGCTGTGGCCCCAACACTACCACAGTCCCTGAGGACGCTGACATCAGTGGACACACATCTGAAGCCATGATGAGGCAGAGATACACAGACAGAAAACTAACTCTCAGCATCTAAAGATTTCGGGGTTCAAGTGGACAATCACATGAGCAGCATGAGCATGTGACGAGTGTGTGCACGGTACACCAGTGTCTAGAAATTCATAGGAAATTAAGCCAAAATATTATGCTGACCTTATAGAGCTAGAGTCTGTGCTAGAGCTGACCTGCTACAGACTGAGTAGAGTCTGCTATGGTATGGAATAGTCCGCGGGTTTGGAAACGTGACTGTCAAGTATAAATGGCAGAACCTCAGACTGGTCAAACTGGCTGTAACATCATGGGGGTGTCCACTTTGACTGCCCCCTAAGTTGAAAGTTGAGGTGATGGTTACAGTTTGTTTTAAAATGTGTTATCATGACAGGAATTGTCCAATCAAAGGAACAGGAAAATTTAGATTTTAAAGGGGACTATATAACATTTTTGACAAAAAATAGCATCTATTGCACTGAAAAACTGTACCCTTACTGTGAGCAGGCTCGCATCTTCACAAACCTGACTGTTATTTGGCCTGGAGGAGGGACTCTTTCTGCTTGTTTCCATGGAAATGTTGCTCCTTTGGCTATAATGTTCCACAGGTTTTATGGGGGGGGGGGGGGGGGTCGCACATAAAAAGGTTGAGAAGCACTGGAGTGGCCAGTCTCATATAAATGATGAAATAATGCTAAGAGCAACATTTTGTGAATCATGACGCAATTCACTTTTAGATGTGAATGCAGCGAGTACATGTGTGTGTGAGAGCACAAGAGCCAGGACTCACCACAGACAGGCCTCAGCTGGAGCAGGAGCAGGAGCAGGAGCAGAAGAACCATGGTCCTCCTGGAACATAGTGCAGCAGAGCATGAATTATACTGAGCAGAACCCACTCCAGCCTAAATGACAGCATTACATTAGCCCTGTAGTGCCTGTGTGTTCTCTAGAATTATAATCTATGTCACACATACATCATGATGTTTTCATTTGGACATCCCGTGTGTGAGAAGGTGTGTGCTCCTTTGTCACAATTCATGCTCAGACAGTAGAGAGTGGAGGCGTTGATGGCCTGCAGGGGTGATGTCTGCGGCTTCTAAAAAGTGTTGCCTGTACTTGGAAAAATGTGTGCTATGTGTGACGTCTTGATCACTTTGCATATACCTGGGTGGAGCCCTGTGACCCTAGATAAATATTGAAAAATCTGCATAATATTTGAGATCCTGATTTTGGTTGGCATTGGCCCTCCGGCTGTAACTCGGCTTAGGAGTTCAGAATCTACAATTCGGACTAGGCTGTGCTTTATAGCTTTCCTGGTCACAGGGTTAATTTCTCCAAAAGGGTACTTGCATAGTGAATTGTCCTAATTATTTTTTTGTATGAGCTTTCTGGTAAAATAGCAACTACGGAGTGAGTTGGTCATAAGTGCTCTGTCGCGAGCTCTCCGGGCCTAAAAACCCTGAGTGAGCACGAAAATAAAGAGTGACACCCAGCCACAGGAGTAGTGCATAAAGTAAAAAAAGCTGAAAAATAAGACAAAGACAAATGACTTGTTGGGATCTTTTGTTGAGTCTCTCCCTTTAATTATTATACATATACTATTACCACGAGCAAGTCCAGTTATCCTAGGTGAGTTGCTTACAAAAACGCAATGTTTGGGGAAATTTTCTAATGCAATGTTTTTGATGCAAAGCTAAATTTGGTTAGAGTTTTTGAGGCACTGCTAAGGATAAATGAATATTTGTAATGTTTTTGGTGTAAAACTTTATCTGGTTAAATTCTTTGAGGCACTGTCAAAAATGAGTTTTGGGCAAATGTTGTCAAATAGAGTATAGAGTATCATAGGGTCATAGGGTAGTTTCTAAAAGCTAAGTGAAATTGTAAGTGTTCCCTAGGTGATACTTTAAGAGTTGTTAAAGTTACTTGTATGGTGTTTCTTAAAGTTAAACGATATTTTTGAGTGTAGTCAGATATTTACCTTGTGTTATTGAAGAAATGATATTTTTGAGTGTAGTAAATGATATTTTTGAGTGTGCATTGTGGTTTTAAAGTTATGTGATATTTTGAGTGTTGTCAGAGTTATCTGCATTGTGTTTTTAAAGTTGACTGATTTTCTGAGGGTTATTAAGAGTGATTTGAAAAAGGTAGTGAGGCTCAGGCTGCGTAATCTAGTCCTGGTCTTTTCAACAGATGTGTCATCTGGGACATTTATGAGCTCGTATTTTGTACAACGTAGAAGTTCTTAAACAATCATGAACTGTTCCACATGTTGTGACTGAAGCTAATTTTTAGATGGTAATGTGACTTGCCGTCTTTACAGAGTGCTGCTTCGTGTTCAGTGACGTCCTGAGTCCTGACCAGTACTGTACATGTTTTGTTTCTTGCAGATTAAAATCATGAAGACAGCACCGTGTCCTGGACAAATATTGACAACACAACACAGATAAACTAGAGGACACACGGATTATTGCTTCTGCCAAGACTTTTGCACAGCCAAGTTCAGCGGCTACATCAGAACCTCTGGTGGAAAGTTTTAAATGTACCAAAATGACAAAACAACGCTACTGAATCCTCCATGCATCACCGATTAATAAAATAAACCTGGAGACGGAAACAGAGAGCGGTGGGCGTGTACCGGTGTCGGTGAAAACGGGGTGACCTGCAAAATGGCGTCTTGAAAATAAGTGATTAAAAATGACTAAAACATGCACGAATCACCCCAATTAAAACTTCAGAGGGTCGGAGAGTGATGGAAACATGGTTTAAAGTTCTGAAAATCGATTTTGCAGAATGGGTCTGATTTAAATGCGCAGACCCCGCGCCGCGCGTCCTGGAGCAGTCCTGGCGTTGACGCGCGCCTGTCGTTTCGCGAGGTTACGCGTGCAGTGGAGCCAGTGGATCTACAAGTCGCAAAGGTTTGGAGTGATCCGCAAAAAAAAAAAAAACGGAGCTAAAGGTGCTGCTCGACATTTTAAGACGTTTCATTCAGAATATAAGATTGCATTATCCATTTCTTCATGCTGCTGTCACCGTCCTAGTTTGTTTTAAAAATGGACCGTGAGTCCGGAATAAAGATGAACTGGACTGAACATTTATAGCTGACTGGTTTAAAGTTTGCATCGCTTTAGAAGCTCACTGTTGCTTCAGTACGGTCAAGCTTTCATCTCTTTACATTTTCTTTAAGGCTACACTATCTGAAGACCCACAGTCCAGTGCGCCCGGTCCGCTCCACGCGCACGCGCACGCACACGCACTCACCTCAGTTCACGGGCTTCTGCGGGGCATCGCCACTTCAGTCCACTCAGCTGCGAGAAGTATGCGGAGCTTCAGAGCCGGAGGACGGTGCAGCGGAGCGGACAGTAGTCGGGGACAAACCGGGGTTGAGTCTGGGCAGAGCGGCAGAGCGCTGAAGCCCACCCCGCCGCACCAGCGCGACCACCAGCGTCTGTAGCTCACGTCACTGTGCTGTCAGCCAATCAGGAAACAGTATAAGAAGTACTTACACCTGTGCATATGTATATTTATAAATATAAATATATTGATTTATTTTTTACATTTTTATTTGACATTTGTCAAATGATTTGTCAGCAGCAGGCTGACAACAGGGGGCGGAGCTCAGGATCAGGGTCTTCTCAACTGTCATGACCCAAAATCATTCGTTCAGAATGGTTTGTGCAACAAACTTATGATTCTCATAGTAAATAATTTGATCAAGTTTATTAAACTCAAAATATGTCTTCTGTAACATAAAGATCACAACAGTAAGAGTTCTAGTTCAAAAGAAGTCTGCCGCTGTGGGCCGCGCGCGAGCCCCACTCTTCTTCTTGGGTTTTGGGAAAGGGGTGGGCGGGGACTTGAGCACTCCACACTTGGGTTTCTGGTCGGGGTCAAAGGGCACGCGGGACGACCCCTCTGGGCTCAGCAGCAGACTGCGGTCTGTCCTCCGGAACTCTGCAGGAGATACATGAGAACATCAAGTGTTTCTAATGAGAGAACACAGGCATATATAGAAAACAACAACATACTCTGTGGTTCTAACACAGGGGTGTGTTTAAACTGTATCACACACACACACACACACACACACAATTAAGGCTTCAAAAAAAGTGAGCTTGGTCCCAAAGTTTCAAAGAGCCATAACTCGGGAACGACTCAAGGGATTGAGCTAAAATTTTAGATTATTTCATTTGGTTATTTTAGAATTTTTTTGAAAATTTCTCAGCCAAATCTGAGATGGCTCATAGGGGAGGGCGGCTGATTTCATATGAATACTTTGTTTGTGGCGGTGACAGGTCTGGAGTCATGTGAACTGGGTGTAGCAGATGTAAAGTATAGGTGTGTGGGTCATGTGACATGGGTGTAGCAGATATAAGCTGGAGATGTGTGGGCCTTACCAGCCGTCTGGTTGTTCTTCAGGCCAAAACGCACCTTCTTGGAGTCTGACTTGGGAGTGGTGCTCTTCTGAAAACACACAGGACATCAAACAGACTACAGGGGCTCAGGTCCTAAACTACATTTCCTCATGACTATTTTCCAAAAAAAAAATCCTCCACCACAGGACAGTGGAGCCTGTGGAGACATTTAAGTGTCTCCAGAGATATTAGAGAAAGTGGGTTCCTGTCATATCAAACTTCTCCTCCGTAGCTTGTGTGCATGTGTGTACCGTTTTGGTGCACAGGGCTCTGCAGAACAGAGGAGCTGGAGGAGGACTGCTGCTCTGGAACCTCACAAAGTCTGGCTGAGCTGTCTGGTTCATCTGGAGCTTCTGAGGCCTGGAGCTCAGGAGAGTCTGAGAAGGGTCTGAGGGCTGGACACACAGCAGGAGGTGGGTCAGACGCGCACACACACAGCAGGAGGTGGGTCAGACGCACACACATATGACAGGAGGTGGGTCAGACGCACACACATATGACAGGAGGTGGGTCAGACGCACACACATATGACAGGAGGTGGGTCAGACGCACACACACATGACAGGAGGTGGGTCAGACGCACACACACAGCAAGAGGTGGGTCAGACGCACACACACAGCGGAAGGTGGGTCAGACACACACAGTAGGAGGTGGGTCAGACGCACACAGAGCAGGAGGTGGGTCAGATGCACACACATATAACAGGAGGTGGGACAGACACACACACATGACAGGAGGCGGATGAAATACACAAACAGCAGGAGTTGGGTCAAATGCACCAACAAAAGAAGGTGGGTCAAAGGTATATAAGAAACCTGATCCTCAAGTGTCCTTTACCCTGGAAAGGGTGACCCAAACAGGAGCTCTGCCTCTGGATAAAGGTTCTACAAAGTGGGCCACCTCAGCAGCTCTGAGTGTGATTAGGTCAGGTCAGGAGTCAGAAATATCGAAGGACAGAAATGAACCTTTCCTGAAGCTTTTGAAAGATTTTGAGCTGTATTAGAACAAGTACTGACACTTTGCAGTGATGTCAGATTGGAGGTGTTCTATATGTATCTCTATGGTGGAATGTTCAGCAGTAACCATGGTAACACAATGTACACACTGGCAAAAAAGTTAAGATATTCTGAAAACTTGAGAAAAAAACAAAAGGATTTAAACAACACATTTTCCAGAGCTTGTGATCAGTCTGAGCGTTCATGGTCCTGTTCAGATTTAAAAGGTGAGTGTGACTAACTGAAGAACTGTTCCTCACTTGTGACTCTAATGTTTTTGGAGAATGACTTGTTTAACAGCACAAACCAGCTCACCTGTTGTAGTTCAGCAAAATCAGTGCTTAATGGTCAAATTGTGTTGAAAAGATTAAAATAAAATTTCCCTCAGACAGAGTAGTGCCTTCAGTTAGCATCACATCCCCAGTGAATAAGATGACATTAGCTGCAAAGTGTCAGTAAGAGCACATAGACTAGTGCACACACATGGACCACTATGAACCTGCTGCACCACTGAGGATCACACAGACGTAAGGACATGGGAGTAGAATATACAGAACTGTGACTTCATGCTGAAAATGACATTCTATACACGCATCAAGAATCTCAGACTTCCGGTCATTGTGCAGTGCATACTGGGAAAGATTTTGCAAACTCCACAGATGCAAAAGGGAATCAGGTGTGTGTGACTCAAACTTCTGTTCAAACTGTTTCTCTTCCCATCGGAATTGAAAAATAGTGAAAGGTGAAGGTGATGGGCAGGATTGATCCACGGGAAAGATCAAAAAGGAAACCTTTGACTGCCTAAATCATCCCAAGTTTGCAGCAAACATTTTGTATGTAGAGCGCCAACAAAGCGGGATCCTGTTTGTTAAGTGAGAGGTGCAGAAGACAAACAGACTGAGCTGCACTTTCTTGTTCTTGTGGTTTTACAGCAACATCACGTCTTGGTCTCTTTGCAGTGGAAGGTGTTTCTTGGTGAACAGCTGGTGCCTTTTGCTTTGGCGTTGACTTTTTAAATTCGTAACCAAGGCTGAGTGAGGGATCGGGGTTTTGCTTTGATAGTGCTCACAAATTTCTAGAGCTGTTTTCCGCTGTTAGGATCCAACAACCACACAATTACGATGTCCGAATCCCAAAACTAAAATATGACAATATCAGAACCAGAAACAACAGTGTTTTTTATTATCATCGTGGTATCAGAATTGATATTGTGTACTGAGTCTGTTCCTTAGTATCGCAACATCACTACTAGCCAATAGTGGTACTTTCCAGCAGGTCAATGGAGTCTGCCACCCAAGAACCTCCTACCACAGACCCCAACTCAGATACTCACCCTGCCTATGGTCTCCTCCGCCGGGACCTCCGCTTCATACTCAAACTCCACTGGGATGATCTTCTTCTTCTTCCTCTTTTTGCCCACCCCTGTGTCCTCCTGCACCCTCTTCTGTCCAGCCGCTTTCCGTTTCTTGGTGGCCTTCACACTGGTCATTGGAGCTTCGGACTCCTGCTGTGTCTCCTCTGCTCCTGTCTCCATGGTAAGCTTCTCCGTCACCTTTTTCTTTCTCTTTTTAGGCTCTGGCTGCACTGTGTCCTCAGCCTGCGTTTCCGTGGTGACCTCCTCGTGCTGCGGCCCTGATTCAGAGCTCTCTGTTCTCCTCTTCTTCCTCTTCTTCTTCAGGGTGGTTTGTGCCGTGTCCTCCTCTGTAGGGTGCTTGGCTGTTTCAGTCTGAAGCGTGTCTGGAGGAGCAGCAGTGGGTTTGGGTTCAGACAGTATATCTTGCTCTTCAACAGTTGGTCCGTTTTGATGCTTCTCGTTGAAAACTTCAGATTTTTTAGCCTTTTTTCTTTTCTTATTTTTTAACAGTGGTGTTGTGTTGTTCTCCTGAGGGGTCTTGGCTGGCTCTGGTTGGTCTTCTGGCAGATCTTCTGGTTGATCTTGCGGTGCCAGTGGGGCTTGTGTCTCTGTTTCAGGTATCGACGCTTTGTCTGTGGACTCCGCTGCACTTTGTGAGGACTTCTTTTTTTTCTTCTTCTTACGTTTCTTCTTCTTGCCCTCCTCACTGGTCACAGAGCTGGAGGCTTCAGGGCTGGGCTTTGGGGGTTTCTTCTTCCCTGAAACAAACATCAACACACACATGAAGGACCAAGAAGTCACAGCGGAGTATCAAACAGAGATGTATCAAGGCCATATTTGCACTTTTTAGCAATGAGTTATTGACGTTCATTCAACAATAGGCATTGTCTTCAATAAAACTATTCATTGTTATTCGACAAAAGACATTCTGAAGGTCGGGGCTTCACTCAGCCAAAACGTTTAGCACTGAAGGTAAGAGGACACAGTGGTGTTATAGCTTCAAAAAGCAACTCTGTGTTGGTGTAAAAATTTAATTGTTTTTATTTGATATGATATTTGATATGATTGTGAACATGACTGAACAGTAAAGTTGAAAATGAGCAGAGAAGAGAGGCTGACGCTGCAGATGCTGATGAATCAAAATAATCTCCAGTCTCCACAAGAGGCCAATACTTTGTTTGGGTCAATTAACTAAAGAAAATGCAAAAAGATAGAGGGAACTGCAAAAATGTGACTACACTTATCTTAAACTGTAAACTGTATTATCTTAATACTGTAAGTGTGAATGAGTTGCAAATGAGTTTGTACCAAATCCATGGCATCCATGGTTCAGAAGTATTGCCGTCAGCAAAGGGAGCTCTACAAGAAATCTGATCCCAGGATTAACTAAAGTATAAATGTATTTGAAATAAAAACACTTAGAAAAACAGATATTCAAAAGGAGATTTCAAAATTCATAAAAATTCGAAGGAATAGCTCAAAGTACAACTTAAAAAAAATCCTATCCCTTTTCAGCTGACCTGCTCAGTTCACATGACTCAACCAATACAAAATCATTTAAGATTTACATAATAAAAAAAAAAAAAAAAAATTAAAGTTGCTCCTTCCTTTGCATCAGACTAGCAGAGGCCTCTCACATTCACATAAGCTTTATTCTATGTAGTGAAACATGCACACATATAGTGAAACAAACACAATAGTGTGGGCTGAAGTCACCTTTAGCCTTCTTCTGCTCTGGCTCCTCCTCCTCCTCCTCCTCCTCTGTGTGCTTCCTCTTCACCCTCTTCCTGCTTCCAAAGTCGTCATCATCCTCGTCTGTGGACACCTCCTCTGGGTACTCGTCCTGAGGGAAGCTCCCTGTGAGACCAGAGTGCAACATGTGACAGATCTGATTGAAATCAAATCATAAATCATCTGTATATAACTAAATGGGCATTGAACATTTCTAATGAAACTACAATATATACACTGTAGTTGTGTATGTACTCGATACAAAACAGTGGACACTGTCAAGGCTCCAGAAAACTGAACTATGCTCACGTGTCACATGTCACATGACAGAATGCCACAGGCCTGTGACATTTACTACATCCTCTTATCGTTCAGTACATGTTAGAGGAGTTAAAGGAAACATCATTTAGTCATTTTCGGGGTCAATATTTATCACATGGACTTTTTCTTGTGGAACTTTGTTATTTTTCTGTTTTATAGGACTCATTATAGATACAAACTAACTACTAATTCTGCTATTAACTGTTAGCCATATTATACAAATGGGTCAGTCCATATGAAATTAGCCGCCCTCACCTAAGAGTCATCTCAGATTTGGCTGAAAAAAAAAAAAAAAATCTAACATTACCAAATGAAAAAAATCTCACATTTTAGCTCAAGCCCTTGAGTCGTTCCTGAGTTATGGCCCGTTAAAATTTTGGGGCCATGTTCACTTTTTCTTAAGCCTTAATTGATAAACATGTTTGAGAGACCAGAACTTCATCAAAAATAGAGCCAAGAAGCTGAACATTTGTATTATTGCAGATTCTTGGTCATAGATTCTGAATCTGTTGTCAAATATTGTGTATCTTTATTTAAGGAGGTTGACCCCCCAAATCTCACATTTGGTTGCAGCTAAAATTTTTTTTCAATTTTTGAGGTCCAAGATTTACTTACTCCAAGCAGATATTTACAAACTAACTATTGAACCTGAATATTTGAGAGAATGACCATTTCTGACAACAATCTCACACTTTTCTGAGCTTTCATGTGGATGGTGTAGAGTCCTAAATCTGGTCACAGACCAAATGTGATCTTTTTGGCCCCTTCTTTGGAGCCTCGGTTCCCCATGTGGCACAGTTAGATGTTGATCAAATTTTTACCAGAGAAACTTTGGCAGATTCTGATTAGTTTAAAGTAATAAAAACATCTACTATTAAACAGAATTTTTTAAAATGAGCTCTCACAGGTCATTTTTGGTGGAGCTTAGGGACTTTTTCACCTGATAAAAAGATTCAATTACCTTTAAGAGACTTAAACACTTGTTGCTTGTTATAAGGGAAAACAACTGGAGATTATTTGTGGTACTTTGTTTGTGGTGGTTTTGGTGTCACAGTAAAACGCTCGACTGCAAGGACCAGTCTTCAGACAACTGACAACAATCAAATATTGACCTCACTCCAGATGTTTGAGTGAGCTTCACAAAACCTAAAGAATGTAAAGTTTTTCTTTACAAGCTCTAAAGACATTACAAACCATGAACTTACTTCCAAACTAGAAGAGCTACAGCAAGACAAAGATTGTGAATGGTTCTAGATCACACCACAGTTTCATTCCTCCAAATGGTAAATTAGAAATGAGGAGAATATTTCAAGATCATTTATGAACTGAAGTGTCAGTTTGTGAAATACAAAATGACATTGTGCAGTTTTGTCTCTGTACCAGCAGGTCAGTACGGTGCATGTATTTCTGACATCAGGTGGTTCATTGGGAATATTTCAGAGCGTTCAGATGAACATGGTGATGTCTATGTGAGATTCATGAATGGAGACAACAGAACCCTCATGTGTTCTCCTGAACATCAGCAGAACCATGTTGGGTCACATTTCAGCACAGAATCTGTTGCATTAAAGAAAGAGAAGTTCAGAGAAGAAGAGCACGAGATTATGGCCTTGACACTGCAGATGATGACAGGATCCAAACATGACTTCTGAAGTTCATTAGTAGTCAGCACTGTTGGGCAAGTTACTTTAAAACTGTAATGCGTTATTTATTACTTATTACTGTCATTTCAAAGTAATTCATTACATTACAATATTACTGCATTTAAAATGTAAGGCATTACATTACTATTGCATTACTTTAAGTTACTCTCACCAAAATAACTGCGAAAAAGCTGAACTTTTGAGCTGTATATGGACTGAACCAGGACTAAACAAGGTCTAAACCAGGACTAAACCAGAGCTGAACCAGGACTAAACCAGGACTATAACAGGACTAACCTCAGACTGATTCCAGGACTGAAGAGGAGGACTAAACCAGAACTGAACTAGGACTAAAACAGGACTCACTGTCGGGACGGGCTCGAAGGAGACCGCAGGAGAAAGGATCGGCTCTGCTCCGCACCTCATGGAGGTAAGAGCAGCTGTCGCCCGATCGCTCTTTATGGACACCCTGCTGCTCAGGCTCGCGGTCCTGATTTCAGCAACTATTTGAGGGTACAAGACCCGGTGCAAGATTCTGCTACAGCGCGTAACTTCTACCTTTCTTCAACGTGTCCAGAAGTCCAACTTTTTGTGCGATGGTTTGCATCGTCCTCTGTCTTTTGGGTGTGAGCGCAGGAGACTTTGTCGGTGCAGAACATTTCGTCGACGTTGTGGATTTTGTCGGAGAGAAAACTTGCAGACATACAGCACTTCAGAATCACACTGCTAGAGATTGAACATTTATTTAAATTTGGCAGCTGAACACATTCTGTACTGTACTGTTCAGGAGACAGGTGTCCCTCAGCCGATCAGGACGCATCGGGAGGAACGCAATACGTGTTCATACACTAAAAACAAAAGGCATGCAAAATTGCACAAAAAAAAAATTCTGCGAAACAGCGAGACCGCGAAAAGTGAACCGCGTTAGAGCGAGGGACGACTGTAAGCCAGGTCTAAACCAGAAGTGACCCAGGTCTAAACCAGGTCTAAACCAGAAGTGGCCCAGGTCTAAACCAGGTCTAAACAGCGTAGAGATCTGGGTCGGTCCTTTCGCCCACGGTTAACTGAAGGTCTATCCGGCCGCGTCTCTGGCGTTTCACCGCTGCTGATTTCACGGTGATTTTTGCGAATTTCTATGAAGAAAAACCCACCACTTCAATCCAGGTTAAAAAAGCATTGTAACGCGCGTTACTCACATTTGTACCGAGTAAAATATTACTATTTTTCCCCCTGTAATGCCTTACATTACTGCGTTACAGCAAAAATCAACGCATTACTGTAATACATTACTTTTATAATACATTACTCCCAACACTGGTAGTCAGGAACACTTAGTGTGCAAGATACAAATACACATGATCTACATGTAGGTGACAAATATTTGTCCAGTACGTTGGTATTTTCCACTGAGGTTGTTTTTCACACTGAATTTTTAAAAGGTCATTTCTAGCAGTTGAACAAATAACAGACCAGGTTATTGTATTTTGGTAACTTTTGTGTCAGTATCATTTTTTTTCTTGTTAATGTTACTGCTGCCTTGTAATATTTTTGTTCAAAAATAATACACATATGGTGGTTCTGAAAGTCATGGTTATAGAACCAGAGACTTTGTGATTTAACAGGCAAAGTTTTCCAATTGTAATTTGCCTTTGATCAGTTTCCATGAATACTTGAACTTTTGTTGCTTTACTTATACACCATGAAAAACTGTTTCTTTGTGAGATAACAAATTATCTTCCTCAAATAAAAATAGAATAAATAATGCAAACAAACAATTTTTTCATAATTTTGTGCAGAGTTAATAGTTGAATTTTCTCAAAGGATTTGCTACTTTCCAAGCAAAGTACCACAAATAATCTCCAATTGTCTTCACTTATAACAAGCAACAAGTGTTTAAGTCTATTAAAGTAATTTAATCTTTTTATCAGGTGGAAAAGTCCCTAAACTCCACCAAAAGTGACCTGTGAGAGCTCATTTTCAAAAATTCCGTTTAAAATGAAGGAAGTTAATAGTAGATGTTTTTATTACTTTAAACTAATCAGAATCTGCCAAAGTTTCTCTGGTAAAAATTTGATCAACATCTAACTGTGCCACATGGGGAACCGAGGCTCCAAAGAAGGGGCCAAAAAGATCACATTTGGTCTGTGACCAGATTTAGGACTCTACACCATCCACATGAAAGCTCAGAAAAGTGTGAGATTGTTGTCAGAAATGGTCATTCTCTCAAATATTCAGGTTCAACAGTTAGTTTGTAAATATCTGCTTGGAGTAAATAGATCTTGGACCTCAAAAATTGAAAAAAAAAAATAAATTTAGAGGCAACCAAATGTGAGACTTTGGGGGCCCACAGCACCCCCCTTAATAAAGATACACAATATTTGACAACAAATTCAGAATCTATGATCAAGAATCTACAATAATACAAATGTTCAGCTTCTTAGCTCTATTTTTGATGAAGTTCTGGTCTCTCAAACATGTTTATAAATTAAGGCTTCAGAAAAAGTGAACATGGCCCCAAAATTTCAACGGGCCATAACTCAGGAACGACTCAAGGGACTTGAGCTAAAATGTGAGATTCTTTCATTTGGTGATATTAGAAAATTTTTCAGCCAAATCTGAGCTGGCTCATAGGGGAGATTCCTTGAAAACGACTGATTTCATATGAACTGACCCAAATATAATGATTATGATTGACACATGCTGTGTGGGACTGCACTTCTGCTCTCAAATGCAAAGGCCTGATGCAGTTTAGATACTGTGGTCTGAACATGTTATACTAAAAACAATAATAATAATAATAATAAAAATAATAATAACATATGTATATGTTTAAGTGAGGAATAACTGTAGACCACCGCAAATCATTTCAAATGAACTAGTTCTGTTTTTCACTTTTGTTATCATCAAAGTAAAAATCTGGGATCAGGAAGATTCCATCGTAATCTGACATTCTCACGGCCCCGCACACATACACTGCCCCCGGCACGCACGCACACACGCATGCACACAGCTGCCTCACACGCAGCGCCCCACACACACACTGCCTCACACACAGATTCGCACATTCCTCTTACCCTGGCTGAGGTCCCGCAGTCTGTAAAAAGAGTGAGAGGAGGTTAGGGTGTAAAACAACAACACCTGCACAGAGGAGCAGACACAGAGGAGCAGACAGAGGAGCAGACACAGAGCAGACACAGAGGAGCAGACACAGAGGAGCAGACACAGAGGAGCAGAGACAGAGCAGAGACAGAGAGCAGAGACAGAAGAGCAGAGACAGAAGAGCAGAGACAGAAGAGCAGAGACAGAGGAGCAGACACAGAGGAGCAGACACAGAGGAGCAGAGACAGAGGAGCAGAGACAGAGGAGCAGAGACAGAGGAGCAGAGACAGAGAGCAGAGACAGAGGAGCAGAGACAGAGAGCAGAGACAGAGGAGCAGAGACAGAGGAGCAGAGACAGAGGAGCAGAGACAGAGGAGCAGACACAGAGGAGCAGACACAGAGGAGCAGACACAGAGGAGCAGACACAGAGGAGCAGAGACAGAGGAGCAGAGACAGAGAAGCAGACAGAGGCAGAGACAGAGAGCAGAGACAGAGAGCAGAGAGCAGAGAGCAGAGACAGAGGAGAGACAGAGGACAGAGGAGCAGAGACAGAGGAGCAGAGACAGAGGAGCAGAGACAGAGAGCAGAGAGAGCAGAGAGAGCAGAGACAGAGGAGCAGAGACAGAGGAGGAGCAGAGACAGAGGAGCAGAGACAGAGGAGCAGAGACAGAGAGCAGAGACAGAGGAGCAGAGACAGAGGAGCAGAGACAGGAGCAGGCAGGAGCAGACAGGAGCAGGCAGGAGCACTCACACTCTGACGATTTTGTAGAGTCTCTGACGGTTGCGGCTGGGGGTATTTCCTCGACTGGACAGCTCTAAGAGTTTGTCTGCCACGGCTCCGTAGTCGAACTGAACACAGCACATGACAGGATCAGGGCACTCCACACATACGCTAACTAGAAACACTGCTCTGTCTGAAATACTTACTGAAAATACATTTTAATCTGAACTTTAACTTAAAACAATTTGACCATTAAGTACTGACTTAGCTGAACTGCAACAGGTGAGATGATTTGTGCTGTTAAATAACATTACAGCCACAAGCTAGCATGAGCAAGTCCTACACAGGATCATGAAAATGTGTCATTTTCAGACAATCTAAAGACAGTGTCTGCCAGTGTGCACACTGTGTCACCATGGTAACTACTGAGCATTCCTCATGGCATTTAATGGGCCGTCAACCACTAAGCAGCTCTAAGTTTGGGAAGCTTTTTGCCTATAGCCATTAGCATTTGCCCTCTGATGGTGTATTATGAATAATTCAGAGTGTGACCTGATACCAATTCATCCACAACATTTATGTGAGATCACAGTTAGTGCTGTCATGTGATTAAAAAAATTGAGAGATTAATTAATTATGATCTGTAATTAATTAATCTCTTTTTAATCTCACCTAAAAACTGCTGAGAAAAGCCTTCAATTTGAGGTATTTTCATTTAAATTCATTATTACATTATTGTGGCAGATCAAAAGACTGATACAGATAAAAAAAAAAGTGACTTTATGAAGTCATTTATTGTTTAACAAACTTTAATAGATGCAGTCACTTACATTCCACAGTATCATCATTATTATTACTATTACTAATCTGCAGTGTTGGGAAGGTGACTTTTCAAATGTATTCCCCTACAGATTACAGATTACATATCCCAAAATGTAGTTTGTAACTTAATCCATTTAATTACTTAAAGTGAGTAACGTAATTTGAATACTTTGGATTACTTGATATTGTCATGCTTTTTAAAACTACATGAATGTAGCAACCACATCCTGCAAATGTTGTTCTTGTTTGTTCTCTTCAAATTGGCTGTTGAGCCCAAGTCTCCATGAATAAGAAACTGTTTGCTGTAAAGTAGCAAAGACGAGGAAATCTGAACATAATAACTTTTATCTACTTAAAGACAATAAAAAGTCCAGTCTTTCCTTAACCATATTAAAAATATTATTGATAGAGAAATGCTTTATATATGAGATCACTGGTTTTAGTCCTGGTTTAGACCTGCTTTAGTCCTACTTTAGTCCTAGTTTAGTCCTGGAATGGGTTAGTCCTGGTTTTAGTCCTGGTTTTAGTCCTGGTTTTAGTCCTGGTTTTAGTCCTGGTTTTAGTCCTGGTTTTAGACCTGGTTTTAGTCCTGGTTTAGACCTGGTTTAGTCCTGGTTTAGTCCTGGTTTAGTCCTGGTTTAGTCCTGGACTGGGTTAGTCCTGGTTTAGTCCTGGTTTAGTTCTGGTTTTAGTTCTGGTTTAGTCCTGGTTTTAGTTCTGGTTTAGTCCTGGTTTAGACCTGGTTTAGTCCTGGTTTTAGTCTTGGTGTTAGTTTTGGTTTAGAGGCGCACAGGAGGAAGCGCGGTTTACACAGTGTAGGCGAGAAAATGTACGCGGCGCACGGGAGGACAGCGGTGTCCACGCAGTAACTACGGAAGAAAACGTGGTCCGCGCGTTCTCAGGTTAATGACGATGATGAAGGTGTGTGTTTGTGTGTTTGTGTGTGTGTGTGTTTTTGTGTGTTTGTGTGTGTTTGTGTGTGTGTCCCCTCATGTGGCAGGTCACTATAGGACAGTAGTGCAGACATCATGAGCCTATGCAGGTTGTTTTCACCAGTGACATTTAAGTTGTAGGCGATTTTATATTTGTTATTTTCTTTTATATTTCACGTCGGGAGAAGAATTTCCAAGACGTGTGTTGTGTGTTTTTCCCTGTGCACTGCTGCCTCTGTTCTACTGGCTCTTCCACCTCGTCCATTGTGCGACTGACGCCACCAACGTTAACATGACGTTTACATGACGTTTACATCGCTCTTACTTCTTACTCTTACTTAAAAAACATAACGCGCTAAATATGACTGTAATTAATGAATCGCAATTAACGTGATAATTTGACACCCCTAATCACAGTCTCAGCATCTGAGCTCACGGGTAACCAACTCTCAGTGGAAACATAATATAATGACATAAATATGGAGACTGGCTTCACCATTCATGTGAAGGAGCATTAGAATCTATGACTGTGCATGCTGACATTAACAATTTCTCTTTTAGGGACTGCTGCACACAGTCCGACTTGTGTCTAGACTGGTGGTATCTCCATGGAGACAGAAAAAAATCTGATGCCAAACTGTGCACAATACAGTGAAAATAGCAACATCACCATGGGGACAAGCTGCCATAAAGTCTCTTCAATGTGTCAATGCACTGTAGACCACACTGTGTCCTCACCTGTAACACAGGCCCCACGTCTTCATCAACGGGGTGCTCCGAGTCCGACAGCCCGTCATCCTCCTCTTCGTCCTCATCATCTTCATCATCCTCGTCCTCTTCAGGGTGAGACTTTGTGCCTGAACAGAGCAGAAGGACAGTGGAGTCACGGGTTATGACACCAGAGCTGTGCTGAAGAGAAGAAGCCTGCCTGAGCACATGGTTACTAAACTCATGTAAACGGCCCAGTGCATTAGGCTCTGCTCCTCCGCTCATTTGTCTAAAGTTCGTTTTTTACTCTTCAGGGTGTGTGAAGACATGGCAGAGGTAAAACACTATTTCTGTCATTATTTATCCTGTTTTTAGTGACTTTAGAGCCTCTTCAGCCGCTCTGGGCGTTAGCTGCAGTGTACAGTTGCAAGAAAAAGTATGTGAACCCTTTGGGATTACTTGGATTTCTGAATAAATTCAGCACAAACTGTGTCCTGATCTTCATCTAAGTCACAACAACAGACAAACACATTCTGCTTTAACCAATACTGCACAAAAATGATATGTTTTCAGTTTTTCATGTAAAAACTCACAGTGCAGGGTGGAAAGAGTATGTGAAGGTTTGACTTTAATAACCCTCCTTTTGCAGCAATAACCTCAACCAAATGTTTCCTGTAACTGCAGATCAGACCTGCACAACGGTCAGGAGGAATTTTGGACCATTCCTCTTCACAGAACTGTTTCAGTTCAGCAATATTTTTGGGTTGTCTGGTGTGAATTGCTCTCGAGGTCATGCCACAGCTTCTCAATCAGTGTGAGGTCAGGACTCTGACTGGACCACTACAGAAGGAGTATTTTTTTCTGTATGAGCCATTCTGTTGTTGATTTGCTTTTATGTTTGGGGTCGTTGGCATCACCCGTCCTTGTTTGAGCTTCAGTTGGCGGACAGATGGTCTTCAGTTTTCCTGCAAAATGTTTTGGTCCAATTTGGAATTCATTTTTCCGTTGATGACAGCAATCTGTCCACGTCCTGAGGCAGCAAAGCCCCAAACCATGATGCTCCCTCCACCGTGTTTCACACTTTGGATGAAATTTTGATGTTGGTGCTGTGCCTTTTTTTCTCCACACACAGCCTTGTTTTTTCCTTCCAAACAACTCAATTTGTGATTCATCTGTCCACTGAATGTTTTGCCAGTTCTGCTGTTGAACATCCAGGTGATCTTTTGCAAACTTCAGACATGCAGCAATGTTTTTCTTTGACAGCAGTGGTTTCCTCCGTGGTGTCCTCCCATGAACTCCATTCTTGTTTAAGGTTTTACATATTGTCGATATATCAACAAAATTTGCATGTGCCAGAGATTTTTGCATGTTTTTAGCTGACAATCTAGGATTCCTTCTCATCTCACCTTGTCTATCGTTGTGACTTAGATAAAGATCAGGACACATTTTATGCCCAGTTTATGCAAAAAACCAAGTAATCCCAAAGGGTTCACGCACTATTTCTTGTAACTGTAAGAGGAGACAGCGACATGCGGAGGATACACTGTACTGTATCACCCCAATGTATTCACCAAATCCAATCTAAACTGATACCAGTACTGGGTCCCTACAAATGCAAGGAAATAAGTTTTGGTTTGAATCACACATGACCCTGTTCTGCTAAAAAACACAGGGAAACGCCTGGGTCAGGCTGCATGTGTGAATGTGCATATGGATCTTTTGCAGTGGACTTTTTTGATAGTGTTTGCTAATGTGCGCATTATGTCTCCACGATAACTGCTCAACATTCCACCACTGAGATAAATGTAGAAGCCCCCAGCGTGATGTCACAATAATGTGTGTTAGTGTGCTGGTGGTCCTGACCGTTCATCTGCGCTGTGGCTTTGGCCTTGGCGGCTTTGGTCTTTTTGGCCCCAGCTCTGGTCTTGAGCTGCTCCTCAGGCTCCTCCTGGTCCTCTGAGGCCTGGCCTGAGTCAGAGTCCTGCTCCAGCTCCTCCAGAAGCTCCTGGATGGCAAAGGGAGCCTGGTCGATGATGGTGCTGAAGATACTGCTGCAGATGGCTCTGAACAGGGCGCGGCTACAACAGCGTAAGACAGGGGAGTCAAGAAAAAGAGTACACGATAATTGGTCATAGTACTTTTGTATTATGCGACAAAAATAAGCATCATTATATCACCAGATGGTGCAGAAAACAAAAGTTGTTTAAACATGGACTTTATGCATAGTAATAAGATTATAATTATTAATAAACATAACACTTAAACAACTCTATTAAAGAACACATTCTATGACTTTTTTATGGCTTGAATTCCATTTGAAACATGTCTTTGGGCAATTTGAGATTTTCTAACTTAAATTCATGTCACACCTCTCATTCCAGTGAGGCATTGGAGCGCCCTCTGCTGGCAGCAACAGGACTGAACATGTGAAGGAAATATCTGAAGTACTTTACACCAATACACCAATAGAGCCAGGTTTTTACTGTGAAGTAGTTTGAGTGCAGAATGAGTCTGCTGATTCAAAAGTGCACAGAGACATCTGGAGCTTTATCTATGACACAACTGAAATGGAGTCTAAATTCAAACTGAGCATTTTTGAGGCTCAGAGCCGACTACTTTAGATTAAAGAATTAATGAAACATGCAGGAAACAAAATACAACTGCAGGCATGTTTCTGATGAGGGGATAGTATATATATAGACAGGATAATACGGTTAAAAGCTCCTAACAGTTGATTATAATTGCATAATATGTGTTATTTAGTAAGTATTGTGATTAATTAATTAAAATTAATCTCAGTTCATTTGGCCATGATAACCGTGGCACACATTTTCAATATCATCCCACGCCTAGTAGGCAGTTGCCAAGATACACAGCCCCAAAGCATAAGCTCCCTACATGAACACCCGCTCACCCTGACACAGAAGTGGGGCTTTTGAAAGGACATTTTAAATAACAGTGTTTTAAGGTCACTCACTCTTTTGTCTTTGCTGCAGTTTTCATAAAGGGTTCGATAAAGACCAGGTTCTGATCAGCAGTGAGCTACAAGAAGAACAAGAACAACAGAAGATTGTCATTGTCAAGTCTTCAGTCGTCATGGTGATCCTTCAGAAATGTACTAAAGCATGCCGTAATGTGGTACCACTCAAAAACACCAATGCACTTTTACAGTCACCTCATTAAAAAGAGTACAACTGCATGGTAGGATTTATTTATTTTTAATCAGCTTTTTCTGTATCCTTTTAAATGATTTTATAAAATATGAAACACATTAGATTCTAAGATTAGACAATGCAGTATTAACTAGGGTTGTCACCGATCCGATTATGTGATCGGAGATCGGCGCCGATCACATGACTCGATCCGGACTCAGGCATTATGGCCCAATCAGTTATTGGTATAAATAATATAGGTATATAACACACAGGACACACAGCACACAAGTTTTTCTGAGGTGTGGGATTTGCTCAGGGACATCCAGTCAGAGCGACTGTCTGCCCCAGCACCTGCTGTACTAGAAGCTCAGTTACACTGGGACTTTTGGGCTGCGCCGTGCTGTTAGCTGTGGTTCTGTGGCTCGTGTTCACACCTGCGCGGCCGATGGCTTCCGCACACGGCGGAGAGGGTCCGTCCAGCGGCATGAAGTGTCTATTGAGCCGTGGGACTGATGTTGCGGTGTGCGCTTTGTGGTGGGGTTGTGAATGTGGTGGCAGTGTGGGGGAGAGAGTCTGGGGGGCTTCTGTCATCTCGTTTGTATTTGGTAAGATTTTGTATTATTTGGAGATCATAGACGAGCATAAATGTTTAAAATGTAAAGCACAGACTTCCATTTAATATTAAATATACAAACTGTAGATTGTGCAGAGTCTAGTCTCAGGTCTGATCAGATTCTGGTCTGGTTCCTGTTTTGTCCAGTTCATTAAGTTTACTAAGTTACACATTCCAAGACCAGACTCTGAAAAGTCAAGATTTTCAACAATGATAGTTCATGGTTAGAAAAGTTAATAATAAAATAAAAGTTTTGGACATTTGATTTTTCACACTAAGTTCAGCCCAAATACTACACATTGAAATCAACATAGTCTGATCCCCCCAAACATCCAGGATCTTATTCTTTGCTCTTAGTTCATTTTATAATGTTTTATAGAAGTATCGGATCGACACTCGGTATCAGCAGATACTCAAAATCAAAGGACTCGGACTCGGGGGTAAAAAATGTGATCAGGACATCCCTAATATTAACTTTTACATTTTTAAATCATTCCCTCCAGTAACAGTGGAGGTGTAACAGTGGTGTGTTCATTCTGACCTCCTGTGCTCCGACCACAGCCAGCTCCCTCAGGTACAGGTCCAACACGTGCATCTGCAAGCCTACAGGGGGTGCTCCAGCCTGCAGCAGCTCAAACGACAGCAGCCCCAGGAACTGGGCAATGCAACTGCACAAGAGACACAGTCAGTAAACAGTATATGATGTTTCTTGTTCATTTTATGTAAAGGTGCTGTACTTGATTTGAACAAGACTAGTTCACCAACAGTTTGATGTGGTCCAAAGTTAATCTCACTTTCCTAACAGACGTCTAGCATCCTAATTATTTACTGTGCTTATTTTATAGAGATGTTTAAACCAGAGCAGACTTTGGCCATCACAATAACACAAACAACAGTGAAAAGTGAATTATGCATGATGCTCTTCTCTAGATTAGATATAACTAACGGTCGTTTAAACACAAAGCTTAATCAGAATATTAAAGACATTCATACAATAAGCACAGGTCCACTGAGACAAATACAACACCATCCTCCAGATCTTATTGCACTTCCATTGTGGTGGGTGGTGGGTGGATGTGACTATGGGCTCAGGCAGGGGCAGGTTTGTGTGTGTGTGTGTTACCTGGGGTCCCACTGGCTCCTCTGCAGCAGCTCAAACATCTGCCTGAACATGAAGCGCACCAGCTGCAAACACACACACACACACGCAGGTCAGAGGTCTATGAGAACATCATCACTACTGTCACTCTATCTCAAAGAGGACTGGACAGTTAAAGACGGGTTATTATAAATTTTTTTTGTTTTTTAATCAATATTTTTAGCATTGCTTTTCACCATATATATATGTTTTCAGTGAATATAGCATTTTCAAAACAAAAAGTACAATTATGATCTAAATATGCCATTAATATACAGCAGAAGAAAAATACACCCTCTTTAATCAAACTTTTACACAATCAGGACACAATCCTTTCAATTTCTTTCAATTCACATTTTGCCAATGATCAAATATATTTAATAAGGAAAAAGCTAATTGAAGGAAATAAAGTGGCAAGTTATAGTTAATAGTTAACTCATTATTTCTGGGGATAGGAAATAATGTTTATGGGCCAGGAGAGACTGGGGTGAGTTAGTCGGGCAGGTGAATCATGAGTGAATGGGGCTTTTTTTAAAAGAACAGATCTGCATGCATCTGTTATCTCGCCTCATACGAGCAGGACGCAGATGGATTGTCTCATCATCAGTTGTGTACCTGGTAGTACTTGTCCATGCGCAGGCGGTCAATCCCGGTCCACTCCCTCTTCACTGTGGTCAGGAAGGTGCGCAGGAACAGCAGCTCTGGACCCACACACACACACGGACACACAGTCAATAATGTCCATTAACACTATTTGGACTCAGTTTGATTTGGACTTAAATATCTGCACATTATCTGTCACTGACCAGACCCCCCCACACACACAATCACACTGACTGTGCAGAGATGTACACACATGTAAAATGACCTACAGGTCCATGTGCCTGCGGAAAACTGTGTTTGGCCCCACCCCTGATGATAGTATAATGCAGTCATACAAGCCTACAGTATAAAGAGTGTAATAGGCCTGCAGTATAAAGAGTGTAATAGGGCTGCAGTATAAAGAGTGTAATAGGGCTGCAGTATAAAGAGTGTAATAGGGCTGCAGTATAAAGAGTGTAATAGGCCTGCAGTATAAAGAGTGTAATAGGGCTGCAGTATAAAGAGTGTAATAGGCCTGCAGTATTACAAAGCATCCACTGTGACATGATGTCATGACATCACAAGGTGGAACAGAAAGTTTCCTGTTTGAAAGTAGAGCACAGATTAAATCTGTAGGCTTTGTGTGTTAAACAAAGTAAAAGTTAAACTGCAAAACAACTAAAACTTGTCCAGATATAATTGAATTAACAATTACATTAGACATTACAGTGACCAAACAAGAGCAGCAGGTCTGTACATCTACTCACGTGCACTGAAGCTGTGGAAGTGGTGGACGAGGCCTGAGATCTGCGTGGACAGCTCCTCCTGAGGAACATCTCAAAGGTCAGAACACTAGAACATGCATAAACCTCGCAGCGTGACGGCGTGTGTTCTACAGACACTATGATTAAAGTGTATGATCTAATCCATCAGTTCATTGGGGGAGATTTTTGTTGGGTCATGTGAAGTTAAAGCTGTCTTCTGTCTACACGCAGAGAACACCAGTTTAGTCTCATACCTGTTCATGCACTAAGTGTGTGTCAGACGTGCTGCAGCTCACACTCACACCTTCAAATACAGTCGCTGTGGACTTTACAGCCCTTCATCACACGTCTACATCTTAGACATACATACAAACCGTCTGCAGCCACAGACTGCCAAGACCATTTAAAAGGAAGCGCACTGAAGTGAAGTCAAGTCTAAAAAGTTTCTGAAACTAGGCCTACTAAACTGGTGACTCTAGACCATAGGATCAGCAATAAAGATTTTATTTATTTATTTATTTGATTGGGACAGAGCATGTTAATGAACAAACATGGCACAACATGAATGGAAACACACCAGATTGTAGCAGGCTCATTTCCATCTGAACAAGTGAACAAGTGTATTAGCCAGAGACTAACAAATATTTAAAAATCAACTGGGACTGTTCCTTTTCCTCTGCATCCTGTGTCCAACCACAAAGTAAAATAAACTTCACCAGAATTATAAAACTAGACACACCTGAGTGGCAAAATGTTTAGTATAAATACCGATGTTAAGTGAGTTTCAGTGAAAGGTTCTTGCACATGTCATATACACTTATATCTGTAGATATTGGCCCTGCCCACATGAGAGTACAAAGTTCTCATCTTCTGCGTGTAGAACAAACCTGTAGGAGCAGCTTGTCCTGCATCCACAGACAGTAGAAGAGGCCTTTCCATAGCTTCAGCAGCTCCTCCTCTGAGAACCCTGAGACACAAGAGGAACCATCAGAACATCTGCCAGGAGCACACAGAGAGGAGGGAGGACGGCTGCATCAGGAGAACAGCCAATACAACCTCCAGTCTCAGACTCCCTGTCCATCAGAGAGGACATGTCCACACACTTTTGTGATTCATCCAGGCAATATTCTCAGCTTGGTACCAAAGTAAGATCAGACCAGAACTTTGCTCACAGCTCCACTCTCAGGACACAGCTGTGGACAAAGCTCTGGTGCGTTTGACCCATGTCCTGTCAGAGGGGACAGAGAGGGCAGAGAAAACAGAGAGGACAGAGAGGACAGATAGGACAGAGAGGACAGAGAGGACAGAGGGGACAGAGGGGACAGAGGGGACAGAGGGGACACGCTCTCACCTGCGTGTGTCCGGCAGCGGGCGCTGATGTACGCTCGCAGTTTCTTGAGCGCTTTCCTCCTCACGGGCTTCTCATTAGACGCCAGTTTCTGGGCGAACTGCACCTCCGGCTCCGCGCACGCCATGGCTCCGTTCACGTGGGATTCTTCTGTTTTCTGTCGCAAGTTTGCGCTGTCGCACGCTGATGACGTCATGTGTGCGAGCCCAGGCGTGCCCTGTGTAACAGCGCCCTCTAGCGTCCAGAGAGGAACAGCACCTCAGAGAACGCGTCTGTACGACTGATCTCTCAACAGCAGTGTGTGTGTGTGTGTGTGTGTGTGTGTGTGTGTGTGTGTGTGTGTCTAAGTTGTCTCATGGTCTCAGAATGTGTCAGAGTGACTTCCCGGTGTTGCTACATGAAGCTACAGGCCCTGACCTCTGCTGTGACCTGCACACTAGAGCAGCAGAGGAGAGAAGGAGAGGAAGAGAGGAGAGGAGAGGAGAGAAGGAGAGGAGAGAGGAGAGGAGAGGAGAGAAGGAGAGGAAGAGAGGAGAGGAGAGGAGAGAAGGAGAGGAAGAGTGGAGAGGGAGAGGAGAGGGAGAGGAAGGAAGAGGGAGGGAGAGAAGAGGGAGAGGAGAGGTGGCATCCAGGGCCCCTGCAGCAGGGAGGTGAGACACTTGCATCATAACTAACAGAGGTGTAAACAGCCCTGGGGCCAATTATCACCCTGTGCACAAACAGGCTGTTTACCACCAACACACACGTCAGTGAGCTGCTCTGGGAGGACACCAGGCTCTTTCTGCAGAGGGGCCCTCACTGGCTCATCCAGGGGCCCAGATCTTCAACATGAGCACACACACAGGACACACACAGGACACACACAGGACACACACAGAGGACATAGAGCATATGTTGGCAGAGACTGACCGCCATAATCTAACCTCTGCGTTTTGCACAGATACAATACAGTTCTGAAAGGCAGATGTGTACTCCACCTGCACCACGAGGGACAACGAACTGTCCCCTTTGGCTCAGTGTCTTATGAACACTGTTAAAGTTTATGTGAAGTTTGTGTGTGTAAGAGTAGAAAAGGACAATAGTAAAGTTGTGTACAAGAAGAGCAGGAGCAGACTCTACTTCCTGAGAAAGCTCAAGTTTTTCATTGTGAGCTGGAGACATGAGGACACTGGACAAACTGCTCTCCATCATGAACACTCCTGCTCCCCCACTGCACCAGACTATAGAGAGACAGATAATACTCCCTACAGCTGTACAACAGCTCACCCTTATGTAACAGATATCCCTGTGTCCTGTCAATCATCATATCATCTTTTCTGTTTTTCCTTACAGCTTCTTCTATAAAGCTGAGATATATTTTATTACTTTATTTCTAGAATTCATTTAATATACATTTTGATAATTGTTTGACCTTATTTGACTAAAGTCTCTAGCTATTTTTGCTATTTATTATTTTGAATTGATTATTACTATTTATATTTTTACTTGTGTTATTCTTTAATTTAGTTATGTGTGAGCTGCTGTGTCCATGTAGTTTCCCTTGTGGATCAATAAAGTTTATCTAAGTCTAAATCTTGCATGACTAGTGCGTGTTCCTGTCCCCAAAAAGCCCTGATCACTACAGGCCTGTGTGCTTCTGTTCCACCGCATGTCCAGGAGGTCCAGCAGAGGATGGACTGTGGAGGGCAGCTGATGAAAGCCAAGCTCCAGCCCACATGATGGTACGCTTCTACACAGCCAGCACTCAGTCCATCCTCACCGGGGCCACAGACACACACTCAGACTGTAGCACAGCACTATGGCTCTGCTGACTTACTTAGACTTAGACAAACTTCACTGATCTACAAGGGAAATTATGCTGAGAAGGTGAAGGGCTGCAGCTTTCATCTCTCCAGAACCTGCACGCCTCCAACACTCCATCACTGCAGGTCCATCACTGCTGACCCTTCTCACCCTGGGCACGGATTATGTGAGCCCCTTCTCTGGAGCAGAAGCCCCTCCCCTACAGCAGAAGCCCCTCCCCTGCAGCAGAAGCCCCTCCCCTGCAGGTAGGAGGGTACAGACCCCAAACAGTTTCTTTGCTGTTGGCCTCATCAGCACTCACACTCTGTGTAATAGAAGTGGACTAAGGGAGTGTGATGTCACCCACAGTGTTTGGCTCCAGGCAAATGAAGCTCATCGATGCTGCAGTTATAGAAACTAATCTGCAACCAGGGACCATATTTGGAAATTTAAGCTGTGTCCATTTATACAGTGGAGGAAATAAGTATTTGATCCTTGCTGATTTTGTAGGTTTGCCCACTGACAAAGAAAGGAAGAGTGTATAATTTTAATGGTAGGTTTATTTTAACATTGAGAGATAGAACATCAAAAAAATCCAGAAAAAATATGAACTCATTTGCATTTCTTTGAGTGAAATAAGTAGTTGCACTTTCTAGCCAAAAAAGAGGTCAGACATTTCTTGTAGTTGATGATCAGGTTTGTCACACATCAGAAGTTTTGGTGAACACTTCTTTGCAGATCATTTCTAAATCATGAAGGTTTTGTGGTGGACACTCAGCAACTTGGAGCTTCATCTCCCTCCATAGGGTTTCTACAGGGTGAAGGTCTGGAGGTTTGGGCCAGTCCAGGACCTTCATGTGCTTCTTCTTGAGTCACTCCTTCGTTGCCTTGGTTCAATGTTTTGGGTCATTTTCGTGTTGAAAAACCCATCCACCACCCATTTTCAGTTTCCTGATGGAGGCAAGGAGGTTGTCACTAAGGATTTTAACGGTACATGGTTCTGCCCATCCTCCCATTGATGCCCTTGGCAAAGGACAACGTCACAGCACCTTCTCCCAATCCCTCTCTAAACCCTTCAGGTGTTCATTGGCAAACTTCAGGCAGGCTGCATTTATTGAGCAGGAGAACCTTTGAACACTGCAGGTGTTACCACGGGTTTTCTTAGTGACTGTGGTCCCAGCTCCTTGAGATCCCTGACTAGCTCCTCCCATGTAGTTCTAGGCTGATTTCTCACTGTTCTCATGACCACTGAAACCCCACGAGGTGAGATCTTGTATGAAGCCTCAGACCAAGGTCCACTGATGGTCAGTTTTGTATTTTCTTTTGAACAGTTGTTTCCTTAGCACCAGCTTCTTGCTTATAGTTTTGTAGCCCTTTACAGCCTTGAGCAGATCGACAGTCTTGTTCCTGATGTCCTTTGACAGATCTTTGGTCTTTCTCATGTCGGACAGTTTGAGTCTGATTGACTAATTCTCTGGACTGGTGTCTTTTCTACAGGTGACTTGTTCAAACAGGAGTCTAATTCAGGTGACGAGTTGATTAGGAGAGTCTAACTGGTCTGTGGAGCAGAACTCTTAATGGTTGGTTGGGGATCAAACACTTATTACACACAATGAAATGGAAGTCAATGAATATATTTTCTATGATGTGATTTTCTGGATTTTCTTTTTGATATTCTGTCTCTCAATGTTAAAATAAACCAGGGCCCGGTCAAGCAGAAGTAAACAGCAAGGCCAAAAATTCAAGTTAATGCATCTGATATAAAAATGTATTGAACAGATACATATGTACTCAAACAAAACAAACAGTGAAAGAAATGTCTCTGTGAGGAGGAGGAGGAGGAGGAGGGGGTGTTTCTGTGAGGAAGATGAGGAGGGGGATGAAGAGGAGGAGGTGTTTAGAGGTGGGAGTGTGCATGTGTCTCGGGAGTGTCGGGAGCGACCTGTGCACAGGTATAACTCCAGCTGGGCCGGTGTGCGCCGTCAGACCCTGGAGCGCAGAGACAGTAGAGGAGCCACATGGATGCCCCGGGCCCCCCAGACCCCCCCGGGCCCCCCGCCCTGTGCTTCCCGGAGCTGAACCAGTCGTGCCCTCAGCCTCTGCTCTCCCCCAGCGCCACCCTGCTGCGCCTGGCCCTGCTCTGCACCGTGCCCCCCCTCACTGTGACCCTCAACCTGCTCGTCATCACCGCTGTGGCTCACTTCAGGCATGCTCCTCTGCTCTTCTCCTCCTCCGCTCTTCTCCTCTGTCTGTCTTTACTCCTCTGCTCCTCTGGTCCTCTAATCTACTCTTCTCATCTGTCTGTCTCTCCTCCTGTCATCCTCTGCTCTGTCTCTCTTCCTCTACTCCGCTCATGTGTCTCTTGTCCTCTGCTGTCTCTCCTCTCCTTCTCCTCCCTCTGCTCTGTCTCTCCTCCTCTGCTCCTCTCCTCCTCTGCTCTGTCTATCCTCCCCTGCTCTTCTCCACTGTCTGTCTCTCCTCTTCTCCTCTGCTCCTCTCCTCTGCTCCGTCTGTCTCTCCTCCTCTGCTCTGTCTCTCCTCCTCTGCTCTGTCTCTCCTCCTCTGCTCTGTCTATCCTCCCCTGCTCTTCTCCACTGTCTGTCTCTCCTCTTCTCCTCTCCTCTGCTCCGTCTGTCTCTCCTCCTCTGCTCTGTCTCTCCTCCTCTGCTCTGTCTCTCCTCCTCTGCTCTGTCTCTCCTCCTCTGCTCTGTCTCTCCTTCTCTGCTCTCTGCTCCTCTCTTTTTGAGTGTTTTTGAGCTGAAGCAGTGTTTCTCGCTCTGTGCTCCTCCACTTTTTGGATGTAGTCCACATTCATAGACCTGGTTTAGTCCTAGATTAGACCTGGAATAGTCCTGTTATAGACCTGGTTTAGGCCTGGCGCTACTCTGTGCGGAGAATGTCTTTAGTCCTGTTCCAGCAGAGGGAGACTTTCCCTTTAGATCATGCACATGTTCTTTTTATTGTATATTATTTTTGTGCATATGTTTTATTTTCATATGTAGTCATGTCACCATCATAATGCCGTTCCAGTGTCATGTTTCTCCAATGCATAAGCCTCACTGCAAAAAAAACATATTATTTACATCCACTGAAGCGACTTGTGCAGGGAAAACTTGGCTTGTGTGAGAAGTTTGAGCTGGTTCGTGTCGTTTTACAAATGAGATGTGTCAGTGTGTTCAATGTGCTCAAGTAGTCCTATTTCCTGTAGTCCTATTTCCTACAGAGAAGTGATGTTACTTGGACTCAAAGGGCCTGTGTTGAAATACTCATAAATAAGTGTAAAATAGGCCCAATGAGTGAAACGGTTAAATCAATTCAACTCTGTGATTAGTGTTTTGAAGTAGTCTGCAGGACCAGTGTTAGATCACAAATACACACAACTCTATACGCGAGTTTCAGCTGACGTCATTGTTATTAAAAGCCCACGTTGCATGCTGAGAAATATTTTGGTCGGAGGCAAGAAACACGGTAGCGTCAAACACAGTGCATAGCTTCGCGTATTTATCCCTGATAATGGTAAATTCCTGCTGCATTATCGGATGCACAAATAGAAGCACGGAAGAAGGAAAATGTCTTTTTCGTATTCTGAGTGAAAAGAACCGCTAACGGTGAATTAAACGACTTTCAAACATCCGCAGAGCAAACGTAGAAGATTCTAATAAACCGTGGACTCCAACAAGTTCAACAACACATCGAGACTCTTGGAGGTTTTCATCTTTTCTGCTGTGAATGGCCCAGGAGTTTCCACCAAGTCATTGTGGATATCGCCGAAGTGAATATTTGTCCAGGTAGTTGGTGATTTGGTCCACCTTTTGTCGGGGTTGAAAAGGGTGATTTGGCTCCATTGTTGCTTATGACCAATTTCTGGTCAAATGGTCTTGGGTCCTCTGCCGTTAGAGTGGATAAATAACCGGAATCAATAACCTTTACGTGCTTTCTCGCTCAGTCCGTCATGTTGAATGAGTGTTTCTTGCCGCCGACCAAAATAATTCCCAGCATTTTTTGTCAACAATGAAACTCACCTATATGCAAATGAGTCTCATCAAAACTCCATCCACCATTTGAACTGAAGCCACGGTATCTGCGGGCTGTTTCCTGTCGATTTTGTTCAGACTGTGGTGGCACAAAGACTTTTCTGGAGTTTGAATGTCACTTATGAACTGTGTCTGTGAACTTACTTTGATGTGAATGACAAAACAAGAGCAAGAAGAGTCTGGTATGCCAATGTTTAGTGCAGGTTCTTTCCACACTGTGAGGAGAAGAGTAGACTGAGAAGGAGAGTAGACTGTGAGGAGAAGAGTAGACTGTGAGAAGAGTAGACTGTGAGGTGAGGAGAAGAGTAGACTGAGAAGGAGAATAGACTGTGAGGAGAAGAGTAGACTGTGAGAAGAGTAGACTGTGAGGTGAGGAGAAGAGTAGACTGAGAAGGAGAATAGACTGTGAGGAGAAGAGTAGACTGTGAGAAGAAGAGAAGACGGGGAGGAGAAGAGTAGACTGTGAGGAGAAGTGTAGACTGTGAGGTCATCATAGTAACAGAGGGGGTCCTACAGCTCACATGATGGAGATGTGAAATACTTCAGATGTCCACGTGAATAGTTCCCACGTGCGCTGCATTGTTTGGCTTTGTGATTGTGAACATTTACACATTTCTTTGAGCCAAACGTCGTGCAGACAGAGAAAGAGCATCTGAAATGAAACTTTTCTTTTCACTTATTCTGTTCTGTGACAGAGAGAGAAGTCCTGAAACAGACACAAGACAAATAAGTTAAAGTCGGATCTGTACTCTAGATACTCATCTATACACTAAATACTCTAAATACTTGACTTCTATACTCTAAATACTCGAAATACTAATGGTCTCTAGACTAAATACTCATGTTCTCGTGGATGCACAGTGCATTGTGTACATGACACTCAGGACGGGGGAGACTGGGGATGATGTGACACAGATATCCTTGACCCCTATGACCCCCCGACCCCCCTGACCCCTCTGACCCCTGGCCTTTGTGTCCACAGGCAGCTTCACACGCCCACTAACCTGCTGCTTCTGTCTCTGGCCGTCTCGGACCTGCTGGTGGGGCTGGTGCTCATGCCGGGGGAGATGCTGCGTGAGTCGGGCTGCTGGCTGCTGGGGGAGGTCATGTGCGCCCTCTACCTGTACGTGGCGTACGTGTCCGTGTCAGCCTCAGTCATAGACATGGTACTCATCTCCGTGGACCGCTACGTGGCCATCTGCGACCCGCTGCACTACACTCAGCGCGTGACCATGCGGCGTGTGTCTGTGGGCGTGGCGTGCTCGTGGGCCTTCTCTTTGCTCTACTGCGCGCTCATCCTCAAAGACAACCTGCTGTACCCGGAGCGCACGCACACCTGCGCCGGGGAGTGTCTGCTGGTCTTAGATTTCGTGTTTGCGGTTGTGGACACGTTCGTGGGCTTCATCTTACCCGTGGGCCTCATCCTTATCATTAACCTGGTGGTCCTGGTGGTGGCGCTGTCCCAGGCCCGGGCCATGCGCGTGCAAGTGGTGGCGCAGGTGTCAGTGCGCGGTGCGCGGAGGCCACGGCTGAAGGCGGCGAGCAGCCTGGGCGTGCTGGTGGGGATCTTCCTGCTGTGCTTCACGCCGTATCAGTGCTTCAGTCTGGTGGGTGGAGATCTGCTCAACAGCCCCGTCGCCTCCTTCCTCGTCTTCCTCGTCTACTTCAACTCCTGCCTCAACCCTCTGGTCTACGCGCTCTTCTACCCCTGGTTCCGCAAAGCTGTGCTCCTCATCGTCACGCTGCGCATCTTCCGCGTAGACGCCTGCCATGAATTTAGGGTCATTCAGGCTCCCTGAGGGCCCCAAGGGCCCCAGCTCCATCATGGGCTCAGGGCCCCAAGGGCCCCAGCTCCATCATGGGCTCAGGGCCCCAAGGGCCCCAGCTCCATCATGGGCTCAGGGCTCCTGAGGGCCCCTAGTCCATCATGAACAGAGTGTCCCTGAGCTCCGTTGTAAAGCCACAATCACAACATGACTGTGTGTTGTTCGTGGTGGAGGTTTAAGGTGTTCTCAACTGACTTACCTGGTAAAAGATTGAATAAATCAATAAATCATAGCTGAGTAGTACTGTGCAGGGCTTGACATTAAGCATTTACAAGTACTTGACCGGGCAAGTGGCTATAATTTTCTACTTGCCCGACACCCAGACGTAATTGCCCGGAAAAACAAAATGGTGCTCACTTAATTATATATTTTTAAATATGTGCACAGGCTAGTGTCGTAGTACTCTAGACCGTTTTTTAGGGCCTGGCTCAGCACAACATGCTCCTGGGGCAGATCTGTGTCGATTGATTGATTGATAGCATTTATATAGCGCCTTTCAAGATACCCAAAGCGCTTTACAGTTCATTATTCAGTCACTCCACACTCAGTGGTGGTAAACTACTACTGTAGCCACAGCTGCCCTGGGGCAGACTGACGGAAGCGAGGCTGCCAATCTGAGCCATCGGTCCCTCCGACCACCACCATCACTCACGCTCATACCTCTTTCATACTAGGCAATGTGGGTGAAGTGTCTTGCCTAAGGACACAATGGACACTGGCGCCCCACTGTGGCACCTGGAATTCCTAGCGGTCTCTCATCCAAGTACTACCCAGGCCCAGCCTGCTTAGCTTCTGAGATCTGATAGGATTAGGCTTTTACAAGCCGGTATGGCCACAGTGTCGTGTGAAAGAGCCCATGTCCAGAAATACTGTTAATTAGTGCTTTAAAATTTGCTTTTGAAATCCTCGCGTTTGCCCTGGTCAGCCTGTACAGAAGGTGAATACAAGTCTGTTCAGCTGTTAGGGCCTGGCTTGACTGCACGTACATTTCGCTCTATGCGAGTGTAAAAACTGCAACTTTTTGACGTTTAACTTTTAGAATGCATGGAAAGTGAATGAGGACGGCTTCACTGCAGGTGCTAGACGCACGTATGGAGCAACGCGTCCTGCACGCGTAGATTTCAGAAAATAGGATCCATCCTATTTTTTGACACTCTACGCGTATCCCCATCAAAATACACAGAGCATGAATCTTTGGTTGTATTTGTGCCTTTACCGTCAGGACAACGTGCTCCTGGGGCAGATCTGTGTCATGTAAAAGGGCCCAGGTCCAGAAAGACTGTTAATAAGAGCTTTAAAATTTACTTTTTAAATCGTGGCTTTTGCCATGGTCAGCCTGTACAGAAGGTAAATACAAGTGTGTTCAGCTGTTAGTTTAACTGTAGACCTGATACAAGCGGCTAAACGCGCCCAGTCAAGTTTGATCGTCTTTCTCATTGAGAAACACAGAGCCAGAGCTGTGCGTGTACGGCCTTTGAGTTGACGCACGGCTGTGGTTTCGCGAGGTTACGCGAGTTATTGGTCTCGTCTAGGACTCGACCACGTTTGGACTCGGTCTTGAAGGCGTTTGGACTCGGTCTTGTCTCGGACTCGAGGTCTGACTTTAGACAGGTGCAATCATATTTCATTACGGCCACTGCTCTCAGCAATAAACTTGTACCGGTGTGCGGGGGCGTGCGGGGTGTCTCGCTGCAGCCTGTGCGTTTGTGTGGAGCGCCCCCAGCGCGCGTGCCTTGTCCGCAACAGCGTGTACCCTCTCGTACCAGAATGTATCACAGGGCAGGATAAACTTTTTAAAACATTCTACCTGCCCATCTGCCTCACGTCATGCTCCTTCTTTTCGCGCTCTCGCTCCTCCCTGCATATAGCACAAACGGGCTCCCTCTTCAATGCCCACAGATTAGAAAAATAATACTAATGTTTGTCACGACATGCGTTTGGTAAATGTGGTAAATCCCACTGCAAAACCAGTAAGTGAATGTAACGCCAGTTAGAAACAAAACGGGTTTAAAAATCCTACCCACTTTATTCACTTTGAAGCAGTTTTGTGTAAAATACCAATGGAAGTTTTCTTAAAGAAAGGGTTCTCAAACTGTGAGTGAGAGTCCAAAAAAGGGCAGTGTTCAGTGCAGTACAGTTTGCTTGTCTTAATTTAATCTTAAATTAACATTTATCAGATAAAATGGAGATAGATTTCTAAAAATATTGTTATAAATGTGCCAAAATAACTGTAAAATACAAATAAATGTCAAAAATTACAAAGATGGTCATGATTTGGTCTCGATGGGCCGTGGTCTTGGTGTTGACCCTCAGAGGTCTTGGTCTTGTCCTGGTCTCAGGACCCTGAGGTCTCAGACAGGTCTTGGCCTCAATTAATGCAGTCGTGACTAGAACTCTAGCACAGGCATATAAAAACTTTTTAATTCATATGAATACCAACATAACATGACCACAGTGACTAAATGGTTTGAGAGAGAGGGGCAGAATCTTAAATCTATAAAACAAGTTTAAATCATTTCATACTACACTCCACAGTGTAAATATGGAGGGAAAAAAAGAAGCATACATGAAAAAGTGTGTCCAAATATGTATGTATACGAGATGAAAATGATTATCATTGGTCTTCTCATTAAATTGTTCTCTCTTGTATCCACTCAGAGATCTAAGAGTGCCTCAACGTGTCTCAGGTTGTCAGACCCATATGGGCAGGTGACAACTAGAACTAATGTGATTATAGATAAATATGACAGAACATCTATAGTCCTGGTTGCTGTCATCTGGGACCAATGAGTAAATTAATCTGAAACTGTGATACATATTGCCTTTTGCAGTGTAACATTTTGTAATGCAGTATTGCCCCACATATGTAATGGAGTTACACTACTTTGCATTACTTCTGATTTACTTTCTGTATGTTTAAAGTAAATTTTGGCTTCATGAGCTTCACAAATATATAGCCTTATAAGTCCTTCCCTTGGACCCTCGCCCACAGGTTAAGAAACCGACTTTCACTTGCACATTTCAAATATTTTAGTGCCAGTACACCATAGAACTGGAATTGCACGAGCCTATAGTCTGCGCAGATAGCGTTGGGTATCGAAACTCTGTTTCGGTAAGTACTGGTAAGTACTAAAAAACTGGTAATAATGAGCGTCAAAGAGCCAACACACACTTTAATTTCACTTCAATGTATCAGTAGTGCAGGTGTTCACGCGTCAGTACTGCGCTCTGCGCAAATGTACTGCACAAACAGCGCTCATGTTTAACATGTTGAGCATGTCCTACATGTGTCCAAATTAAGTGCAGTGTGTCTTTTACCGGTAAAACAGAAGAGCTGAAAAAACAAGGTGCAGCGTGAAACTTGTATCCACCCGAAAGCACCCAGTCTCCAGTGCGGGGCGTTTATAGAGTCTCAAAGCCAAAGTGCGTAATAATAAATCCACATCCAGTCACAGCCTGCAGTGTCCGCGTCAAATTTAAGCCAAACATAATATGAACCAAAACTCCGCAAAAACCCTGCTCCTCATTGGTAAATATATAAGATGTAAGTAAGTAAAGATGTATCCAAATGAATCTGCGTAAAGTTCTCCATAATTCTCCTCCGTCCTCCTCCGCGTAGTAAAAGCGTAAAGTTATTCATCAAAGTAAGAGCACATGCTCCATGCGCTGCCTTTTATATAAAGTGCAGAAAACGAGAAACAAAAGCGAAACTTAAGCGCAGGTCAGTCTTCGTGACAATCAGCTGTGCGTTTATTTGCGTGCGCATTTGGAGTTATACCTGAACCGTGTATAGTAGCCTACTCTGTTTTAAAATATGAATGAACATATATATAAAGTTATTCAATGACTGAAAAGTATTTTCTTAATAATATTGGCCATTAATTTGCATAAAAACATAAATTGTAACTATACCCTTTGCGCACTTATGAAGAAAACTACTACATATCTCGGCCCTCTACTGTGGAGTTAGTTTGGACTGCTTAAATTTAGGTCCTTGTTCGCGCTTCTCGTCGCTGCGTAATGGGTTAAGAAAACACGGGATTTACACGCGTGGCACTGGAGCGACGCACTGGAGGCGCACAGGCAGGACTGTTCTCTATGAATGGATCTCAGTACGATGTGGGAGTGTGCACGTACAGGGCTCCATGAGGACTGAAGTAGAGAAGCGGGTTTAATGTCACGCGCCGCGTGGTCCTCCGGTGACACACGCCCCGCTCACAGAGCGCACGGATCGCTTGGAGACGCCCCGGTACCGCCCCAGTGAATGTTATTCCCAAAAGCACGGGCTATAATAATAACCTATGCATTTGAACTAATTACTGAGATTAGTGAGTAGGCTTGATAAATATATGGCAAATTTTTGGAGTTGGGTTTAGCCGTGAGTTCGCTTTTCATATGTGACATGTGACGGTAGAATGAGAGACAGAAAAAAGGGGTGGAGTGGCGCGGTTCGCACTAAGAGACATTTTTGATTGACTGGGCAAAGATTGTGGAGCAGGAGGCAGCGTAATACTACGTCTGTTTTATTTAAGATGCCTACAGTCAGGGGGAAAGACAAAACATTGACTGTGACGCGCACAGCAGCGCGCATGAAGTGAGAACTTGTCACCGCGGCCGTTTTTCGTGGCCGTCCAAAAGGTTGGACTTATCTGTTCCTTTCACGGAAATGAAAAAAATGCGTTATGAATTGACAACCCGTCGCTTTGTTTATCAACCAAATGAATAGTTATTATTACTGGGGGACTAGATTTGTGTCGCTTTATTTTCACAGAGGAGAGTACTTGCCCGGACAAAAGTTTTAGTTGCCCCGGGCCAGCGGACAACCGTTAATGTCGAGCCCAGCTGTGGCACCTTGGATTTGCACCAGAATGTCCTGACTCCTGTGTCACTGTTTGATTTAGTTTTAACAGAAGATGTAAGACTGTACTCTACATCTGAACATCTGAACATCTGAACATCAGGTTTACTTTTCC